TTTTTCGGTACACTAATGGATTGGACAAACAGCTCATTGGTGAATATCTTGGAGATCCTGATCAGTTTCATGTAAGAGTTTTAGCAGAGTTTACAGACACCTTTGAATTTACAGGCATGATTTTAGACACAGCTCTTCGAACTTACCTCGAGACGTTTCGCTTGCCGGGAGAGGCACAAAAGATTCATCGCATATTAGAGGCATTCTCAGAGAGATTTTATGTCCTACAATCTTCAAATACCTTTGCGAGTAAGGACACAGTATTTGTACTTTGCTATTCTTTAATCATGCTGAATACTGATCAACATAATCCACAAGTGAAGAAAAAGATGACGGAAGATGAGTTTATCAGGAACAACAGAGAAATTAACGCAGGGAAAGATCTTCCTAGAGATTATTTATCTGAGCTTTTTCATTCGATTTCGAATCATGCAATTATTCTCTCACCACAGTCAGGTTTGCAATTTGATATGAACCCCAGCAAATGGGTTGAGTTGATGAATAGGTCCAAGATTATACAACCGTTCATGTTGTGTGATTTTGATCCTCGCTTAGGCAGAGACATGTTTGCCTGCGTTGCTGGTCCTTCAGTTGCATCTCTTGCAGCTTTCTTTGAGCATGCAGATGAAGATGAGATGCTAAATGAATGCATTGAAGGACTGTTCTCTATTGCTAAGATAACACAGTATGGATTGGAGGACACTCTTGATGAACTGCTAGCCATATTTTCTAAATACACCACTCTATTGAACCCATACGCATCTACCGAAGAAACACTTTTTGCATTTAGTCATGATTTGAAGCCAAAACTTGCTACTCTAGCAGTTTTCACGATTGCAAACAACTTTGGAGACTCGATTCGAGGGGGTTGGAGAAACATTGTTGATTGCCTACTAAAACTCAAACGACTTAAACTACTTCCCCAATCTGTTATTGACTTTGAAGTAGCTTCCACTACATCAAACGATATGGCAAAGTCAGATTCAGGTGTAATTTTCCCTTCTCAAGATCCTAAATTTGGCACCCAGCAATCTTCTGGCATGGCCGGTAGATTTTCACAATTTTTATCACTTGATAGTATGGAAGATTCCTTATCTCTCAACTTAAATGAATTTGAACAAAATTTGAAGTTTATTAAGCAATGTCGAATTGGGAGCATCTTTAGCAGCAGTTCCAGCTTACATGATGAGGCTCTGCTCAATCTTGGGCGATCTTTAATATTTGCCGCTGCTGGAAAAGGACAAAAGTTTAGCACACCAGTTGAAGAAGAAGAAACGGTCGGATTCTGTTGGGATCTAATCACAACAATGTCCTTGGCTAATGTATACCGGTTTCAGGTTTTCTGGCCTAGCTTCCATGAGTATCTACAAACAGTTGTTCAATTTCCTCTTTTCTCTGCCATCCCATTTGCAGAAAAGGCTGTTTTAGGACTTTTCAAGGTATGTCTTAAGCTCCTTTCCACTTACCAACCTGAGAAACATCCTGAGGAACTCATCTTCAAGTCCATAAATTTAATGTGGATGCTTGATAAAGAGATTCTTGATACTTGCTTTGAGTCGATAACACAATCAGTAAGCAAGATTATAATCGAGTACCCAGCAAACCTCCAAACCGCAATTGGTTGGAAGTCACTCCTTCATTTGTTGTCAGCCACTGGTCGACATCCTGAAACTTATGAGCAAGGAGTCGAAACTTTGATCATGTTGATGTCTGATGGGACGCATATTACACGCACAAACTATACCTTCTGCATAGAATGCGCCTTTAGTTATGTTGCACTCAAGAATAGCCCGTTGGATAAGAACTTGAAAATTTTAGATTTATTGTCAGATTCTGTAAATTTCTTGGTCCAATGGTACAGGAATTACTGTGCAGAATCAGGGAACAGTTATAGTGTAGCAAGCAATGCAAGTAGCTCCTCAGAGGACAAAGGTTTAGGATCTAATTTTGCCTTGACTTTATTTATCAAACTGGGCGAAGCACTCCGAAAAACAAGCTTAGCTAGAAGAGAAGAGATACGAAACCATGCCGTCATATCTCTCAAGAAAAGCTTTATGTTGGCAGAAGAACTGGATTTCACCTCAACCAACTGTATCAACTTTTTTAACCTTGTAGTTTTTGCAATGGTAGATGATTTGCATGAAAAAATGTTGGAGTACTCGAGAAGAGATAATGCAAAAAGAGAGGCAAGAAGCATGGAGGGGACTCTAAAGATTTCAATGGACCTCTTGACAGATGTTTACTTGCTATTCCTGAAACAAATATCAGAAAGTTCAGGGTTCCGAACATTTTGGCTTGGGATATTGAGAAGAATGGATACTTGTATGAAGGCTGACCTTGGCAGTTATGGTGAATCAAGTTTGAAAGATTTAGTCCCAGAATTATTGAGAAAAATAATCACAAAGATGCGAGAAAAAGAGATATTGATGAAGAAAGAAGGCGATGATCTATGGGAAATAACGTACATCCAAATCCAATGGATTGCTCCTGCCATCAAAGAGGAGCTTTTTCCAGAAGAAAGCTTTTGAACAGGACACATTACTTGTAAGATCGTAGATTAACTTTAACAACGGATAAGTTTCCGTTTTCTCCCTCTTAGAAGATAATCGGAGGAATTTTTCTACCTTTTATAGATTGAAGATGGCAACAAATTAAGTTTTATCGAACTGTTTTCCTACTATTTTATTAATTCATCTCGAGATTAGAGTGATCAGTTAGAAAATGTAATGACAATTAGCGAAATGATTTTATGAACACTAATCATCAGATAAGTAGGCATCATAAGGCAGAAAAGGATTTCCATAGGAGTTCCCGAAACAAATTTCTAGAAATGATTGTTATACTTAATGTCATTTCTGGATATGAATATTCCAAAAGGAATTTACTCTGAGGCAAAAAGGAAAATGAGAGTAATGTAAGTGAAGAGACGTACATTACTCTTCGTGTACAGTTTCTTCCATCACGATGATCTAGTATAAGAGCTCAAACGATCTTCCAAAGGAAGTCTGACATGCAGGCGGTTAAATTTTTATCTAACACATTCTTTGATATTTTTATCTGTATTTTATAAGATTCAAAGGATACAAACATAGATACAATGTTTACTTCTAAAATAACAACGAAACATAAAAGAATATCAAGATATGTCGTATTACTGATATGAACACATGTTATACTAAAAACGAATATTACAGATTAACTAAGATTAACTAAGAAATGTGAGATTTCTATCGATTAATTCATTTAAACTCAAACTTATGAGTTTAAAGCATACGAGTTTATCAATTATCATGATTTTTTTTTTTTTTTTTCAGAAACCTTAGTTGTTCATCCATCGATTGAGAGATAGAGATTTCCTTCCATATCTACATCTGATTTCTAACTTCTATGCGAACTTTTTGTAGGAGTTGTAACACGCGACAGATCCTTCTTTCAAATTTATTGCAGAATCAGAATCAAGACTAGACAAAATCAACTTCTCAAACAAATCTATTACTAAAAACTCAGTGAAACTCGATAAAATAAGCCTCAAAAGGTAGAAAATGAAGACAATAAATCAAATGAAGGCTTATGAAGGAATTCAACGACAAGAAAAGATAATAGCGATCTAAAGAGTAAGGTTTCAGAGGCTACCTTGGATCTCCTTCAACTTCGTCCATAAATGCAGGCAATAGACCAGAAATCGTAGCTTCTGATACTGTGCTCTTCCGTTCTTCCGCAACATTCTTTAGTGTAGCCTCTGAATACATCAGATCCTTTTATTCAAAACCAGTTGAACTATGAGAATCTTCTAGTTCTCGAAACCCTAGTTTCATGAAATTTGGCGTAAACCGAAGGACTTTCTATATCTAAAAAGACTGAGCAAAACTCAACCAGAATGTAATGAGCGCGCAAATTCAAATACACAGATGACTATTTATACTACCTCATTACTGAAAATACCATTTTATTAATTTTGCATATTTATTATTTTTAGATATTTTTCTTTAAAAAAAATAAATTACGAGTATTCCTAATTTTATTTTTTGAATTTCATATTATTAAATAATATTTCAATTTTTAAAGTTTTTTATATTAAATAGGTCTTTAGTTGTAACACCCGCTCATTAACAGGAGTTACCATCGACAATATTAAGAGACTCTGATATCCAATCATAAAATTCAAAATATTTCTAAAAACATCCAGTAAAATATTTAAAAAAAACAGTACTTTTAAAAAAAACTTAAAAGGACTAAGGTAAACTCTTGACAACGAAAACATAATTACATAACAGACCCAGACATGGATTTCCAGTAGTCTCTAGCCCGCTGGTCTCGTCCTCGGCTGGCCTGCAGCATCTACATCTGGAAAGAAAAGTTATAATAATTCTGATGAGTAATTAGATTACTCAGTAAGTAGCTAGCTTATCATTCACGGGTTCATAACTAATCTTTCCAGGTGTTTTTACGTTTTATTCATCACTGACTCCTAGTTCTCTTACTAGGGTCATCTGTTCGTTAATGAGGTATCTCAGCTACCTCCAGCTAGGTTACTGACTCTCCTTCGATATGCTTATCTAGAATTTTCGGACTCGTATGTAAGACTCGCTCTCGGTCAAATACGGCCCGTCTACTAATTGCTCTGGCGGCCTGTTTATCTCATATACCAACGGTCAGGAGTACTCATGCTCCCTGACTTAGCACACAGCGCGTTGGCCAGGAACTCCGCGGGAATTAGTAGACTATCATACTCATATAAATAAGCCATAGCTCAACAACCAATAAGCATATCTAGAGTCATAAACTTTCCATTAACATGCATAACATACTCATAGTTACTGCATGCTTTCATATATGTATCATGATCAACACATAGAACATTCTGACAATCATTTATATCATGCTTACATCACAGGCAAGCAGTCACAATATACAATAAACACTAAATATCATCAAAGCTCATCATAACATATTAAGCTCTTAATCAGGTAAACAACATACTCACATGTTGTAAAACAAGTTAAGAACTAGTTCAAAGGTCGATACGCTACTTACTTGGTTGCGAACTTCTTTTCCCCCTTGAATGTACGTTTAATAGTATTTCAACACAATTCCTTCCTATTAGACCTATATTTTATCAATTTCAACATAAGTATAGACCAATTTTGATAGGACAGGTCAAAAGGAGTCGAACGGGACAAACCGGGAGCCAAAATACCTTCTCACGCGCCCTCACGCGCCAACAGAAGGTCGGGGGTTCGTTTCTCACACGCCTGATCCGCGCACAATCGCACTTCCACTCGCGGCCTCCCACGCGCCTCGCGTGTCCTTCACACGCTCGTCTTCAACCTCTCCTCCCTGCAATTTTTCCCAATCTTTTTCTTTAATACCCGTTGTGTCCCGAAGCAAAAATTTCATCTCTACAGCTCGAATTTCGTTCTGATTTCTTCTACAACTTTATAGATCTTCTAACTACGGTTCTAACAAGCCTTATTTCATAACTTATTATGCAGTATGAATCAAGATATCGAGATTTAAAGGTTCGGTGATATGAGTTTTTCGTTACCTTCGAATCACCGTCCGATTCAGCTCGTGGCCGTATCCCCTTCCTCAAATGATTCCTCAGCAACAACCCATCTTCCTTTACCCTCGATTGATGTCCAATTTTAAGCAACCAAAACTCGAATTCTCAAAAATTTCCTCCTCTGTTTTTCTGGGTTTTTCGCTAATCACCATTCTTCGTTTTTCTTCCTTTTTAAAGCCTAATCAAGCACTAATACGCTTCCACATCCTCTAATCATCCACTCATCCATCCCACGCCTCCAGCCTACGCGTCCGCCGCCCCTCATCCCCCTTTACAGCAGCTGCTTGACGCAGCTGCTTCGTTTCGATTATTATTATTATTATTATTATTATTATTATTATTATTATTATTATTATTATTATCATCATCATCAAACACACAACACATAAATACAAAATACATATTATCATTATTTTAGGTTGTCACATTAGTTTGTTTCAAATAAATCTATAAAATTAATATAATAAATTTACGACATATTAAAAAAATTAAAATAGTAAATTTATTAAATATAAAAAGAATTAATTTTAGTATAACAATAATCTTTCAATTTTTCATTTATTATATCTAATTAAAAAAAACAATAGAATAGGTTAATAAAGATTATTAGACAAAAAAATAAATAAATAAATAGGTAAACATATAATTTTGAGATTTATTATATTTTTGAATGACCGAAAAAGGGCCCAAATACAAAAGGGCCTAGTTTCATGTCTGCTAACTTTTAAATTTGGTAAAAAATAGTATTAAAATATTTTCATTAAATTAATTTATCTAATTTTGAATAATTTTTAAAAAAATATATATTCACCTTTTTTTTTTCTTTTTTTTTTATATAAATTCTTCGGTGGATATTCCTCAAATTTTTATAAACAAAACTAAATTAATAAAAAAAAAATCAACAAATTATCAAAAAAAAAATCCTTCTAAAACTAATCGTATTTATTTATTTATTTATATTATTGAAATTTTCTAAAGTTAATTTTTTTAAGAATACATATAAATTATATAATTAAGAACTAGTAAATTATTATTATTCAAAAATATTTTATTAGACATAAAATATTAAATTAAGCGATAATTTTGTTAATAAATAATCTTGTAGACCCACGTCCAAATCAGGGCAGCTGCCACCAGCTATAAAACATGAAAGTTTTCGGTCGAGTTAAGTAGTTAAGCTTCTTAACGAATCCTCGTCTTTTTTATTTGTTTTTAGTGCACAATTTAGACCAAATCAATTTCATATTGAATTATTAAAACCTTCCTTCATTTTGCATTTGATTTTCTAATTTTTATATTAATAAATTCATATTATATAATTAAAAAAAAAACTAATTTCTATCAGGTTATAGCTGTTTAGCGTGTTTGAAAATGTTTTTTAAATTATTTTTGTATTATATTTTATTTATTAAATGTCATTCAAAACTTATATGGTATGTCACTATATTAAGTTTATAGTAAACACTTCCATATTTATCCTAAATACAATAAAAATAATAATTAAATAATCAATAATAGCATTTAAATCTCCAAAAATAAGTATTTTAAATCCATGATTTAATATAAATATTAATGTGAAAATTCAATCAAGAAAATATAACAAAATAATAATTAAAAAAAATTGTGAGACCTTTTTGTAACGTTTTATTAGTCGAGCATTTTTAAGACATTGGATTTTGTTTATTTGATGATAATGAATTTATTTGTTTGTTTATTTGTAACGGCCCAGATCCACCGCTAGCAGATGTTGTACTCTTTAGGCTTTCCCTTTCAGGCTTCCCCTCAAGGTTTTGAAACGGTGGATTGTGATGTACACATTGATTGAGAGGAGAACGAACCACTGTTTATAAGGACATGGAAACCTTCCCTACCAGACGCGTTTTAAAGCGTTGAGGGAAGTTGAAAGAGAAAGTCTAAGAAGGACAATATCTATTTATTTATTTATATAACAAGAAATTGAGTTTATTTGAAAATTGAACTTAAAAATGGTAAATAAATTGAGATTTGGTATCAAATAATTGTATACAAAATGGCAGCTTTACCACAAATCCTTGACTTTCTCAATTATTCCCACTAAAATAGGTGTACTTTTATTAATTAATTTCGTGGGGATATACCTTAAAATATTAGACTTTTTAATATAAGTCAAATTTAACATTTTTTTATTAAAAAATTATTTTCAAGGTGTAAAAATAAGTTTTTTTTAATGTATTAGTAACAACTCCATTACCAAATTATAATAATATTTTTTATTTTTATTATTGTATAGTTGGTGAGGTTGAAATACATTATGTTATAAACTCAAAAGGGAAATGATTCTCATTGTGAAGATTGGGTGGAATATTTCCAATTTCACACCTTATAAACTTTAGCTTAATCATATAATTATATTATAATCAATAATATATTATAAAAAGTAACAATAATTAAAAAATAATAATATAAATATTTAAAAATAATAAGTTACTGATATTTTTTTGTTACATTTTTTCTAAAAAAAAAAAAAAACTATAACGAGTTTAAATTTAAAATATTATAATATTGTATTTTTGGTATGCTCTTTGGACGCTAGTATTCTATTTTAAATTTTAAATTTTCATGCTAATTTTATTATTTCGGTTTTATAACGACCTGTCTTCTATTTTTAATCGAGCTACTACTACATGTATGACGTGACATTTTTATTAAAAGAAACTCGAGACCCATTGAAAATTTTATTCAAAACTCGGTGTCTACTAATCATTCAAACATTTAGTCTTTACATATTTCCTTTCATCAGTAATACGAGAACGTTTTCTTTGAAATTTTAGTCAATGGAACAAACCTACAAATTTAAGAACCAAGTTGTACATAGATTCACATCCAACAACCCCTTGTAAACAGAGTATTGTCGTTGCTAAAATGATAATTTTGGCTTATAAAAAATATTGGTTGGTTTCAAATATTCAATGTAAATTAAAAGTATTATTGATGGGTTAAAATAGAATTTAAAGCAATTGTGAGATCCCACCTTGGAGAGAGGAATGAATCATTATTTACAAAGGTGTGGAAACCTCTCCTTAGCAGACGTGTTACATTGTGAGGCTGATGGCGATACGTAATGGGTCAAAGCGAATAATGCGTTGGGTTTGAGCTGTTACAAATTGTATTAAATCCAGATATTGGACGGTGTGCCAGTAAAGACGCTAGGGCCTGAAGGGGGGTGATGTGAGATCCTACATTGGTTGGGCAGGATAACGAAATACCCTTTATAAGGGGATGTCCAAAGAGGGCAATATCCGATAGCGGTGGGCTTCTGCCGTTATAGATTGTATCTGAGCCAGATATCGGGCGGATGTGCCAGCGAGGAGGCTGAGCCCTGAAAAAGGGTGGACACGAGGCGGTGTGCCAGCAAAGACTCTGACTCCAAAGAGGGTAGATTGTGAGATCTTACATCAGTTGTGAGGAGAACGAAACCACCCTTTATAAGGTATGAGTGTGAAAACCTTTGAATGAAACACCCTTTATAAGGTAAGGGTGTGAAAACCTTTCCCTAGCATACGTATTTTAAAAACCTCGAGCGGAAGCCTAAGAAGGAAAGTTGGACAATATTTCTTAGCGGTGCGTTTGGGCGGATCCTTTGAAGAGGGAAATAAGTGTCAACGAGAACGCTAGTCCTAAAGAGGATGGGTATGATCGAAGTAATATTCTAGCCAATTTAAGAGGATGGGTATGAAAATTGCACATTCTCTTGTAAGTCATTTGGGTGAGCATGTTCCAATGATTGTCCAACTTCTATAATAATCTTTGCTTTATCCATCGAAATGAAAGGGAAGCCAACCGGGTTCGACAAACCAGCTACACAGACAAAGCACTGACAGAAAAGATCGAGAAAGGAATAATAAATAACAATAACAAAACTTTATATTAAAAAAAATTCTGATTTTTTAAATTCTTTTTCAATTAAAAAATATTTGATAACTATAATATAACAATTTTAGTCTCTAAATTTTATTTTATAAATATTTGATTTCTATCTTTTAAATTTAAAATGATTTAGTTCCTTTTTTTCTTTTTTTTTTCTTTTTTTTTTTTGTAGGTAATGATTTAATTTTTATAGTTTATAAGAATTATTTTTTTGTTTTAAAATTTTGATTTGGTTTTTAAAACAAAAAAGAATTATAAATAGAAGTAATGTTTTAAAAGTTTACTTTTTACCATGAAAAATAATAATTATTATAAATTTAAAATTTAAAAGACTAGATTATTATATATTAAAATTTAAAAATTAAACCAGACAAATATTTTTTAATTATAACTTTATCATTATATGTATATATTTATTTATTTATTATTATTATTATTTTATTTTATTTGGAAGGATTTCGTGTTGGAAATGGAAGCTTGTGGGGCCTTTGCGGTGTACGCGTTTACAACGAATACAAAGCTTTTGTGTCGTGTGCTGGTGGTTTCTGGTCGTACCGTATTTGTTTGGTTCAAAGGATGGAGGGGTTGTATGGAAATCTAGCGCTTTATTTAGTAGGGAATTTGAATTTCATTTTATATTTTTAATTTAATTGAATTTAAATGCTGTGATTTAATTCTTATCTACAAGTAAGAGATCTCCACACCCTTATAAAGAATGTTTTGTTCTCTTCTCCAACTAACGTGTCTTTGGGGTCCAATGTTCTCACTGACACTCGTTCCTCTCTCCAATCGATATGGGATTTCATAATCCACTTCCCTTCGGGGCCCAGCGTTTTCACTGGCACACCGTCCGGTGTCCACCCATTTGGGGCTCAACGTCCTTGTTGGCACACTGCTTCTGATGCCATTTGTAACAGCTTAAGCCCACGAAAATTGTGAGATTAAGAGGATCGAACCATTTCTTCTGACCCTTTTTCAAATTTGATAAATGTTGGTTGACCGTATATTTCATTATAGCTCTATGATTCAGAGTAGTTCCATATTCGAAGTTTCGATTAGATCTATTCATTAAAAAGAATCAATTCAAACATTTCTTATCTACCCACAAGTGTTATAG